AATAATGTCTCTAAACCCGCTGATATAGATTTTCGCTCCAATGCATATCTATTCCGGGTCTCAGTGTATTAAAATTTTAACATTTATTGCTGTGTGTATTTTTAATGATGGGTTTATACTAATATTGAAGATGATGACGGTTGTGGGAATAAAAAATGGTCCAGGAGCCCATGAATTCGCTATCCAATGAGACAACGCCCGGATTGACAGCTCCGAGATACGAGAATCCAGCGTAAGAAAGGAGGCCAGAACTGCTCGAATAGAAAATAGAGACGCCGAAACTAGTAGTTTCGAGGCCAAGGAAGGTCCGATGTATGTAGCAGGAATGGCAGATTGATGAAATGTAAGTTAAAAAAATAATTTTACGTGAAATTTAAACGCGTTTTTCTCAGAACTGTTTTTTTAAACATGATACCTACGATTTTTCCGCTTCTGTCAAACCGATTTACTTGAAATTTTAAGAGAGTCTTCTTTAGGGATTTGTCTATGTCCAAAACTACGGCCATCCCCAAATTTTTATTTATACTATTTTTTTAAAAAAATGGGGTGCGCAATAGACTTGCCTCCACGTGGTACTTATACGACAAAAAAGTCTATTTATCGGCAGTTGACTTCTGATTTCAAATTGCTATGACCCGACTATTTGTAATATTTGACCCCTACCATAGTGCTCATCTTACCTTTTCTATGCCATTATGTCTGTCTGTCTCTTTTACATCCGAGGATCACTCTTCTTTTCCCCCCCTCTCGACTTTTTGTCACTTTGATGTTCCACCTCCTCTCTCCTAAGCCTGAAGCCAACTAAAAGGCAAATGATAACTATCAAAACGCCTGCCATTTGATATAAATAAATAAATGAATTTTTTGAAAAATCGAAAAATGTTCAAATAGTGGTACAAAAATGGTTTTTCTTTTCTTTAGGCAGTCGCCATTTTTAAAAAAAAATATTTCTGAATCACCATTAGGATATAGTCAAGATAATTTTAATTTTAATTTTTTTATTTCTTTTTGCATGCTTCTAATATGAATAAATAATGTATGAAAATTGATAATAAAAATATTGCTTGCTTTTTTGCAGCACTTCAAAAATGACCTAAAATGCAAGTCACTGCGCAAGAATACCCCATTAAGTTTGTGAAAGGAACTATTATCAATAAGTCTTTTCGACTTTTTAGAATTTCTATTGATTTAAATTTATTAGCTCTTTTATCGGTACCGGTACTCTCAAATATTGCTTTCAATTGGTACTGTTTCGTAAGTGCTTATTTGGTTCCAAAACTAGTTTTAAATCATGAGATTTTCCGTTCTACCTCCCAGGACTGTTTTTCGCAAAACCCCGGTAATAGCAAGATGAAAGTTATAACATTAACAAAAGCTATTCAATTGTTTATGCTAATATATAATTTATATCTATGATGATCAGCATAACTCGGGTGATGGCAATTACTGCCAATACAATTCAAAATGATTATGAAGAAATAGTGCATTCAATTAGCATTCTTTCCTAGGCCCTTATTCTTTAAAACTATTAGTACTTATTTATAATTCAATTGATTGAGAAAATAGGAGAACAAATAAATGCCTATTAAGTTAGGCCGTCTTATACCCAACGGCTTGCTACCTTATAATAATTTCACATTACAGTTTTTAAAGACTTTAGTTCACTAAAAACGGTCGATATATACAGTAACTTATCATGTTACAATTATCTATCGTTGTTGTATTTAGATTTAAGTTTAGTTTAGTTATAGAGAAGTATGAAATTGCAAATGATTTGTCTTAATTTAAATGATATCTAATATTATATTGGAAAAATCTACTTAACAATAAATAATTACAATATTTATAATGTTTCCTAACTATTTTTAATATCCATTTAAATCATACTTGATCTTTGTCAAAGTAGACCACATTTGATATGATAATAAATATTTGCTTAAAATTAGCAACAATACACAAGTTCAAAATTGTTACGGTGATAATATAAATTGCGTTAAAAAATAAATCACTTGCCTTATTGATAGCAGTATTAGTATTATAATCAATATACAATAAGATTATGGTTGGCTCTTCTCATAAGTGGATTTAGTCAATTTTTTAGATTCCAAATCAGTTTATTAAATCGTAGACTTGACAGCACTGACTATGTAATGGTTACATTTTATTAGTTGGTTGAAGGGTCAATGAAATCTCTACCCCAAGCAGCTATTGATTCCATCAGTATAATGGCGCAACCTCTTGATTCAACGAGTGCACTAGTGATTAACTGGTTTAGTTATGATATCATTGCACTTTAGCAATTTCTAAGTACAAAAAGGCCTCTATAAAATCCCGTCCCGTCTATGCTAATACGACATTACATGTCATTTACTGGAAGGATTTCTATACTAACTGATTGGCATACCAATTTTACTCTTTCAGCTATTCCCTCATTTGAATACAGGTGAAGGTCAAATTTGCTAATGATCAGATGATCACTTTAAAGGCATTTCGATTTTGTTTTTGACTTGATGAATAAGCTCCAGAGATCTCGGGTTTTTGAAAATAAATGCTATTTTTTTTAAAATCTAGAAACGTATATTTTGATTTTATATAAATATAGTCATACAAATCGATATTCTAAACACTTTGCCAATCCTTTACTAAGAATGCTAATTGATCATTACCCGAAGTCATAATTTTAAACCTTGATTAACGAATTAAAACAAAAATCGAATATTTACAACTTTATTATGATAAGATCACGATTGAAAAGCGTTGACAGTCGTACACCAGACGTCAGGCTAAATTTAATTAATTTTTTTAAAAATTCATTTATTATCCTTTAATACGACTGTTCAGTACGCAGTGAGTTACACATCTAAAGTTGTCCGTAAGTGAATTCATTTTAAGATACAATAAACCAAGACGTTCACTAATGGGATAATAAATACCACTTTAAATTGTAGTCGTATTCAATTGGAAGACATCATTTTGAGTCTTGATAACACATTTATCGATTTATTGAAATGGTTAAAAATAAAATTAGAGCTACTTTTATAGTTATAAGTAATATAATAGCAATTTAAAATATATTGAAGTTTAAATAACTTCTAATTTACCATTGAGATCCAATTCGTTTAAATTTCTTTTTATTAATTTGAAATCCTTTTTTTTAAATTTAAAACTAAATAGTTTACCCCGCATTCGCGATTATTCGTTTTCTTTCAATATTAATAATTATATTTATTAATAATACTAATTTATCGAATTACTGTAAGTGCAATTTCGACCAAAGGAAGTTTTAATATTCATTACCAAACGCTTGCTAAAGATTTTCTTGGTTTTCGTAGTAGGCCTATATTTCAAAAATAGTGATTAAGTATGTCAAAATGAAGAGTGATAAATTTAAAAATCATTATCATTTTTTGTTCTCTGCTTGTTACCTTAAAAAAGCTCGATAGATTTGCCGATTGAGGGATTATATACTTTATGTGCGTATTAAGTGGCCCAATGATCAATATTTATTTTAATTTTATAATTGACTGGGACAAAGGCAATCGATTGGCACTTAGAAATCTATGAATTTAACACAAAAATGTTTGAGTACAATGTATCACATTTCAAAAGACATGGTTGATTTGCAATTATAAATGTGACCAAATGAATATGAGTTCAGGAATTCTCAAGATTTAGTTATATTTGACAACGTTTAAAATATATGTTCAACTGTAAAAAATTTCACTATACCCATTCCCTTTGTTTTAGTCTTTCTCACAGTACTTGTGCAAGCTCTTGAATACCACGAAATTCTACATTTAATTTAAATATATTCATGCTGATATTTGAACTTATTCCAACCGTTAGTATAACATGGTAATACCATGAAACTAATAGCATAATCGAAACGGGAAAACCCAATCTACTGATTACATTACGACATTACACGTGCTCTGAATTTCGTCAACTATCCGTGGCCATAAACATATTATTTGATCTTTTATCTATTTAGTGAAAAATATACTTAGGGTAAATAATAGGCTATTAATAAAGTCATTATGGAAATATTCAGCAAAGACATGTCAAAGTTTGATAAAACACTTGACAAATTATACAGAACTGGAAGATCGGCTCAAAAGTACACTGGCATAGGATTCCGATCATGTTGGCTTCGACTTTGATGAAAATGGCGAGGATGATCAGTAAAACTACTAAATCACCATAAAAAAAGTTCCGCCGAAGACTGACCTTTTAATTTTACTTCATTCACGTAAAATTTTCTTTTTCCACCATTAAATTAAAGAAAGTTTCATTTAGCAATTAATTGAAAGAAAGTTTGGCTTTTAGGATTTATATCAAGTTTAATTCCAAACCGATTATGGTTATGTAAATTTGTTCAATGCTCGCTTTAATTGCAAAATAACAGTTTCTTTGTTTTTTTCACAATAATATTGAAATAAAAGATTTATATCTATCCTGAACACTATTGGACCGAAAATAGCTGATAAATTCTTTGAGACAAATACGCGGCAAATGCATATTTAGTAAATGGGACCCCACGTAGCACGCTTACTTACTCGCCCATGATGTCCGGAATGTGTCACCATTATGCAGATAAGGTATTTAAAATTGGAGGGAGGGAAGGAGGTGAGTTCGGACAACCTACAGACAGCTTTAAGCCAATTCAAACCTTATCATATCTAAATGGACAGGGTAGTCATAACTATATTCGATTTGATCAATTACAAATTTCCAATAGTTCCAATTGTGCTTATCAGGAAATCGCAAACAAAAATCCTAGTGAATATTTATTTCAAAGGGCAGGCTATATGATAATTATCATTAACCCTTAAACTATGACTTCAGCTCCTCCAAAGCGGGGGGGGGTACATATATATCAGTTAATTAATAGCAATTCATTAGCTGTCTTCATGCTTCCCAGTATCTTTGGCTTCCGTCCTTGTCTTGAGAGCTGGACACCGAATCAGGTGGGTCTTCTCCATTTCCTCATGTAGGTTACATTAGGAGCATGTGGGTTGAGCGTATACTCCCAATCTGTGAAGATGTTTTGCCAAGCTATCGTGTCCGGTACGTAGTCTAAACTCAGCAACGGCTTCGATTCTTGGCCAGTCGGGTATGTCGGAGAGTGCCACTGTCCACTGTTTCTCCTTTGTTCGAGCTTTGAGTTCGTTGTACCTTGAAGTCTGAAATTCTCTCCTGATTAAGGTCATCATTATGTGGAAAGACGTCGGCTGGTCCATGCATTGCAAAATCGTTGTCCAATTCTTAGCACGTGTGTCAGCAACCTCATTGCCCTTAATGCCACAGTGACCAGGAATCCATTGTAGGACCACTGTTTTGTTTTTCTCTCCCAGCAGCTCATAGCGTTTTCCACTGTTTTGTTTTTTCGTCTCAGCAGCTCATAGAGTTTTCTACATTCCTTATCTCAGCTGTTTTCTGCAGCTGATAGAGTTTTCTACATTCCTTTATCTCATCTCGCACCTAATAGAGATTTCTACATTCTTTTATCTTAGCTGTTTTGGGTGGCTCTCTGTTTCCAATTGAGTTTATTGCTGAATGTGAGTCCAAATGTATCACCGCTTTGGTGAATTTAGCTTTTGGGTGTCTCTCTGTTTCCAATAGAGTCTATTGCTAAATGTATCACCGCTTTGGTGAATTTCGTATTCCGGCAACATAATTGGCATAGAGCTAACCTAATGGCCTCTACACCCTCTTCAAAAGCCGATCTATTTTGTCCTGATGCTACGTAGAAAGAGAAGAGTTCAGAATAGACACCTGCACTAACGTTTGCTTGGTTTACTATGTTTGACCCATCAGTGAAGACTTGGAGCCATTGATCTGCAGGATAGTTGACATTGATTGTCTCAATGGCCAGTGAGCGCATTTGCTCTGGAGGGGTGTTTGATTGTCTGAAGAAGTCGAGCAGTTCGGTGCAATACACTACATAAGTGTCTGCTAATGGGTTCATGGGGAGAGAATGGCTTTTTGGTTTATCATCGATTTGTAATGCTTTCTTCAGCTTTTTGGTTTATCATCGATTTGTAATGCTTTCTTCAGTTCTATGAATTTCTGTATTCGACCAGATTGCGTTTTCAGATGTCTTGGTACTCATGGGTGCTGAAGAACTTATCCATGGGAATGTACAGTATTTGCAGCTTGCGTTTTCAGATGTCTTGGTCTATTCTCATAGGTGCTGGAAGAACTTATCCATGGGAATGCGCAGTAGATTCTCATACATTGTCCAATGAGTGCGCAGTAGTTTCTCATACAGGATCAAGGCCTTTTCATGCACAGTCGCTTCTCATACAGGATCAAGGCCTTTTCTTTGATAAGGGACTTATTGTGGTGTTTCCTGCAACTTGGAGCATTGCATCAATGAGTGTTGATTTTATAGTAACTAGGAGCATTACATCAATGGGTGTTGATTTTATAACTCCAGTTATTAGTCGTAATGTTTGATTATGTGCCTTCTCGAGTGGTTTGAGAGTCACCTCTGTGGCTGTAATGAGTGGCTCACAGCGATACAACACTATTGGCTGAATAAACATCTTGTAAGTGGTGTTGAGATTTGAGCACGCACAGCCCCATACGCTACCAGCAAGACGCTTCAGTACATTCAGTCTATTAGAGACTCGATCTGCCATTTTAGCAATGTGACTTTTCCATGCTAGCTTTGTGTCAAACGTCATTCCAAGATAAGTGAACACATTGATTTTGTATATGGTAGTATCCTTGTACCTTAAATGTGGGTTTAAGCTGTGACGGGCAAAGGAAAAGTTTGGAATGTAGTTTACGCGGTGTTGATTACTATTCCATTGTTGTCGCACCAGTATGCTAGTAGTTTAAGTGCACAATTTAGGGCACTTTCTGTCCTATCCAGAGCGTTTTTCATAGGGGCAGAGTACCATAGAACAGGATCATCTGCATAAAGTAAGCACTTAACGCCCGTGACTGTCTGTTCCAATTCGGCTATGTCATTGATGAAGACATTGTAAAGAGTGCAGCTTGTGACTGCTCCCTGTAGAGGGGCTGTTTGTAAAAGATTGGATTTTGCTAGAGCATTTCCATATCTGACTCTATGCGATCTTTGTCCATCGAATGCTTTTATCCAGTTTAGCATGTTATGCTTAATACCAATCTTTGCCAATTTTAGAATTAGCTTCTCTTTCCATACTAAGTCATATGCTGATTTGAAATCGACGAAAACAGCCGTANTAATTTCACCAAACTGTCTTACTTGTATCTTTAAATCTCTTGAAGATTTTCTGACAAAGGGGTTTTTCTTTTGCTTGTGGGAATAGAACTTCGCAAAGTAGTTAGCTATTTCGTTGTCGGTGGTAAGCAATTTGCTGTTTAAGCGTATTGGTTCTTTCTTGGGTCTTTCTCTGTTGTTTTGGAGGTTTCTCAGAAATTTGAAAGTGCGTTGGCCATCACTTTGGCAGCTGATATTTGAGATGAACTTGTCGAAAGAAGTGCGTTTAGCTTGCAAGATGGCTTGCCTTAGGACAGTTGATTGTCGTATCCATGCTTTTACATCTTCCGTTCTTCCAGTCAGATCAGCAGTGTTGCGAAGGGCGTCCCTCTTTCATTTCAGTTCCTCAAGGTATTTAGACCAAAACAATCGATAGTGAGTCGTCTTGCCTCGTGGAATAGTTTTCTTTGCACATCTGATCATAGTATTCGTGATAGCAGTGCAAAGTTTGCCAGGATGTTGGTCGACGTTGAGGGGACTTGTGTGAAGTTCATTCTCTAAAAGGTTTGTGAATCTAGGCCAGTCAGCCTTCTTGAAGTTCCATGATAGCTTAGTTGACACTATCCATGTCATGCTTTTTCCGAGGATGGAAATACTAGCAATGACTGCTTTGTGACCAGAACCAGGATCATTTTTTATTATGCGGCATGAATTCTTGCTGATGGCAGTTGGTCCAAAAGCAAGTCAGGAGTTTTTCCGGTTTCGTTGTAGTGCAAATATGTAGCAGGATCCTCATTGCTGTAAATAAGTTCTAGAGTGTTGCCGTTTGGCTAATCTTCATTTTCTTTTTCAGCATCGTTTGTATTCTTATAGCCCCATCTGGTGGAATGGGCGTAGAAGTCGCCTAGTACTATAGTTATGTGTGAGATGTTCAGAAAATCAAAGTCGAGACTATTCTGGTGTAGATTATAGACTGCATATATCTTAAAGCAGTTTTGACGTTTTCAAACATTTAATCTGATTGTTTCGCATATGTCTTGTGTCGAGCCCATACTCTTGATTAGATCGTAATGTAATTCGGGGCCTTCTTTTACTTCAGAAAGAATTTCGCTTGCAAATTGTCGGTATTTAGGTAAATTGCACACGGTGTAACATGGAAATTGGAAGTACTTCAGTTTGTCATCCGAAAGGTTTGCTTCCATAATCACTTCAGTTTGTCATCCGAAATGTTAGCTTCCATAGTTGTATTCAGTTTGTCATCCGAAAGGTTTGCTTCCATAATTGTGAAAATGTCTACATCATAGGTGTGTAGTATTTTCAGTACTTGGATCTTTTTGTCCAGTGACATCCTTCCAGCATTTCACTGGAGGATCTGAAGACGTTGTGATTGGCCCTGACGAAGACGATTTTTCTTATAGCCTTGTTTCAAGCTAATCATAATAAATAGAAGTCAAATCAAATGCCGATTGATAGACTTTTTTGCCGTACAAAGATACGTTGTCCAGTTGATAGACTTTTTTGCCGTACAAAGATACGTTGTCCAGCGTGCACCACGTGGAAGTAAGTTTATCGTGCACCCCATTTTGAAACATTATTGCTATTACGGTTTCAATTTGAATGGGATCATAAATAAAATATATAAATAAATCATAATTTTGCTAAGATGGGGGCTCAATATATTTTATAATATCGGTAGCTGTTATTGCAATAAAATATTTGAACAGATTTGCAGAATGTAGCTTTCTTTCATCCTTTTCAAGTGACACGGTTAACTTAAAAATGCAAGTGTAATTAATTAATTATGAGTTTGGAACTCCTCAACGTACAATTATATTTGACAAAATATTGAAAATCTTTTAAATTTCAGACAATTACACTGAAATCATTCATATCGTTTTGATCTTTCAAACAGTGGTTGAATAAGCTCTTAAATACCATGAAAAGAAATAAAACTTATCAATATCGTCTTTATAACCTTTACTGAAATAAAGCCTATTTTTTGTCAAAAAAATTTACAAAATATTTGGCACTATTAAAAGATTATATTTCCGATGTGCTCTCATCAATAATTGTGAGGAAATAAATTGACCAATAACACGGCTCGGAAGACAAAGTTATTGACAATGTATTCTGCTTAAGGTTTAATGTGATTAAATTCAAATATTTTCGATTATATTTGATTTTAAGGGGTGCGCGATAGACTTACCTCCTCGTGGTGCACCCTGGACAACGTATTTTCTTACGGCAAAAAAGTCTATCAATCGGCATTTAGACTTCTATTTATTATGATTAGCTTTAAAAAAGAAATCACTCGGCATTCGTTTTTGACTTCGATTATTTATGATTAGGTCACCCGGCATTCGTTTTTGACTTCGATTAATTATGATTACATCGGCATACGTTTTTGACTTCGATTAATTATGATTAGCTTCAAAAAGGCTATAAGAAAAATCGCCCTCGTCAGGGCGACAATGCTATAAGAAAAATCGCCCTCGTCAGGGCAAATCACAGAGAAAAATCGCCCTCGTCAGGGCGAATCACAACGTCTTCACTTGTCAGGGTGAATCACAACGTCTTCAGATCCTCCAGTGGAAGGGGCGAATCACAATGTCTTCAGATCCTCCAGTGGAATGCTGCCAATAACATCGTCTTCAGATCCTCCAGTGAAATGCTGGAGGAATGTCTCCGAATCTAAGAAAAATCGCCGTTAAAAAAGGCTATAAGAAAAATCCCCCTCGTCAGGGCGAATAACATCGTCTTCAGATCCTCCAGTGGAATGCTGGAGGGATGTCACAGGACAAAAAGATCCAAGTCAAGAAAATCCTACACCAATGTCTTCAGATCCTCCAGTGGAATGCTGGAGGAATGTAACGGACAAAAAGATCCAAATACAGAAAATCCTACAAACCTGACAAAGGGCCAAGTACAGAATATCCTACAAACCTATGATGTAGACATTTTCACAATTAGAGTTAAAATACAGTAATTATATAATGCAAACCTATGATGTAGACATTTTCACAATTATGGAAGCAAACATTTAGGATGACAAACTGAAGTACTACCAATTCCCAGCTCAAATCTATGATGTAGACATTTTCACAATTATGGAAGCTACATTGATGACACTATGTAGTCCTACCAATTCCCAGGTTACACCCTGTACCTTCTACCGTATTACCAATTCCAGATGAAGCAGATGATCTTGGTCTATGGTATTCCGCCCCTAAGAAAAACGCTCAGGAGAGGACAGAAAGTGCTCCTAAATTGTGCACTTACATGAAAGCTATGGTATTCCGCCCCTAAGAAAAACGCTCAGGAGACCTAAATTGTGCTCTTAAACTACTAGCAAACTGGTGCGACAACTATTAGTCCACTTAAACTACTAGCAAACTGGTGTGACAACACTGGAATGGTAATCAACACCGCAAAATCTGCATTCCAAACATTTTTTTTGGCCCATCACAGCATAAACCCGCTCTT